TCCTTTCTCTTATAATTTATAATACATTATATTCGGATCAATCATTACATTGGAATGCTGCAATCGGCACCCGTAAGGTGCAATTTGAAATTTACCGTCGAGATTCGATTGGACCACGCTCTCATTGAAGGATATCCATTCTTTTGTAACGGCAGAAGGGAATTCGAGGGCTGTCGGACCGTTTGTATTCTTGCTGGGTCGCTGGATTTTCCGATTGAGAAGTAACCTGCTACTGGCAACTCTCGACACTGAGATTCTTTCCCTCGTCTATTTCCCAGCGGTCACGATAATAGCAGGCATCACTTTTTGCCCCCTATCTCGCTGACTCTTTCCTTGATTCTCGCCGCATGCGAAAACGTATCAGCTTCCGCCGGAGGAGAGAGAGGAGAGTCACTCATTAAGCCAACATATACGCGAATCTCTTTGACGAAACGCTCTTTTGTTGGTCCCTCTGCGCTTCACACGCTGATATATTCCAGATCATTAATGATTCGGATGGAAAGTCACAGATCTCACGAAATAAACCGAAGAATAAGTCATTGTTGCCTACTCCTTAGATTTGTCAGCCTTTTAATATTTAATAAAGTAAATGCTCGAAGTACCTGGATAAAACAGGCTTTTAAGCCTAACACGAGGACGAAGAAGACTTTTAAGCAGGACAAGTTATCGTGAAGATGTTTAATGTCAGGTCGTAGCTGCGCAAGGCTGCCCAGCGATGGCCCCCTAATCCTATGATTTGATGCGGAAAGATCTGCTCGTTGAATTGTTCTCCGAGCGCGTTACGGCGAGCAGAGAGTCGCGCAGAGAGTTTCATGTACGACAAATTGTTCGGCTAATGACCCGATCGTTCATTTAATTGTTACGCTGGTACACTCGCAGCGATTGTACGCGAAATTGTTTCTCGTGCGTCCGCAATTGAACGATCCGCCGCGAAACATAGGAGAAACATAATATCGGGGGCCTTTCGACAAACGACCGACGCGATAGTCCGCGGTTAGCATTTACACCGGCGTTTGTGACTCCGGTCGAATAATCCCGGAACCCGTTATAGTCAGGCGTAGTCCGAAATAGTCAGATAACTGGCTGAACTAAACCCAACACTGTCGGCCGATATCCGACTAACTCGACTGTAATATCGATTGCGCCGATTAAATAATTCGCGTTCTAACATTTGAAAATTTACTCCTTTGGGCTTTAAATAATTCAGTTATCAGAATCCAGTAGCCAGTAACTAATTAATTTATTAACCGAGCTTTATTTTAATAGAATTCCGGTTGGATGGCTAACGAGATATTTAACAATTCTTATAGAAAGAATCGTATTGTTAGCTGAGTAATCCGGAAATGACATATTTAGGTATTTAAATTTCTTATCGAAAATTGTACAGTTGAGAAAGAAGACGTTATCAATGTCGCCACTTACAGCGTTATTGATTTTTCCTCCGCAAATGCTTTGTACTAATCTACCAGAGAGATTCAGCGGTTTAAATGTACGTTGCGGCGCGGAATATACATAGATTTTACAAGAGAAAGATAGAGAGAGAGGGGGGGGGAGTGCAGTGGTATTTAAACCAAGTACTAAAGGCGGAATTGTTCTCTAGCGGTGAAGCGCCCGGTGGTTTTCGCTCATCGCTCGTTTCCGTGCGGCGGAAATTTATCGTCGCGATTTCGACGGCTCACGACCGTGAAAAGGGCGTGAATGCGATCGTTGTCGAAGCGTATTCGCCCCGAAGGGAAAGGGATGAGACGCCTCTGGGAATGCAACAAGTCTGCGAGACGTCTTCTTCTTCCTCTCGTTATCCTTTTGTGTCGTTGGAACTTGGCCAATGATGACCCCCTGGACGACTACTCTCGTTTCGCCTTCCCCGTTTCGTCTTCTCCAGTTCCTCAATGTATTCTTGTCTCTGAGGTTTTCTTGATAACGCTTGATTACCAGCTTGACGATCGCGATAATTGATTGCGTCTCTCGCGAGACCTATTAGGTATCTTCAATTTATAAAGAGCGACTAGGTTCTTCAATTAATAGAAAGCTCTGAAAGTAGAAGATAACGTACGGCAGTTTTCTTCTGTGTCGAGGAAACGATATTAATAACAACGATATTACTTAAGACACGTCTATACTTAATATTAAAGACGCGAAAGTTTCGAATGTCCTTGATTTGTTATGTAGGAATTTTAAGTACTCAAAGTTAAAGGATTTATCATTTAACATTTAATTTTTGCTAAGTATAAAGCTTTCTACTTAAAAGCAGATCCTCTTTGATTCTTGTGGATCCATCTTGCAATTTGTAAATCGGTTGTGGCACGGTAATGGCAATTAGAAATCCCCGTATTTGACAACACACGTCATTAAGTGGTACGGCTTACCGAAAGCCGCTTACATGCGTGGAGCGGCTTTGGAAAGGTGTTCGCTTCACTGATTTCGGTCGCATCGAGACTGCAGATTTCAGAGGGCTTCGTCTGCACTTTCGGTGCACCGTAATGATCAGCTATCTAAATTCGCGATGCGTTTTCGATCGAGACGCTTACTTCACGATGCAGCTTGCATTCGTGAAGAAATGGACCTGTAAAAATTCTACCCTGTATATTAAATCATTTAATTTACCTTCGTATCGGTCGATAATGCCTCCTAATAATCTTTCCTGAATAATTCCACATTTTACTACGTCACCGAATTAATATTTACCGGATATGATAATGACTTTGAATTATACATCGCGCAAGTGGATCAACCCGATACGTATTAATAACATATTAAAATAGCGTTAATCGCTGGCGGAAAGCGTCCGGCATTAGCAACTATCTGCACTGCTATGAATGATTTAATGACGCGCATATAAAATTTCTGCTTGTTCCCCTTTAATAATCCAGCACGTTGCCTAAAGTTATCCGCGCTGGCCGACACTTATTATTTATATCGAGAATTTAATTGATACAGCAGTAACATTTTAAGTGAGTTGAAATCTCTGAAATCCCGTGGTTAATACGGTGCGTTTGAAGTTACATCGAGTTTCCTGTCGAACTTGACGACGGAGTCAAGTTGTTAACAACTCGCGGCGAGTGCACTATCGGCTCCTCCTCCGTTCGAGATCGCGGGTTAAGAGTCACGCTTGACCCGGGTTCAGTTACCACGGTCGCTCTCGCTCGGTGCACCATCGACATACGTAGTCGCGAGTGCCGTATTATATCATCGACCTATCCCAACGTACGGAGCCACGTGTCATTCCGCGAGCACGGGGGAGTCATCTATTATTTCGCGCGAAGGATTCCTTAGTCGTTTGCGTGAATTAGCGTTCCTGGGAATTACACACCCGCGGAGTCTTATTGATCGCCGTTGGAGAACGCCACTTTAATTCTGCAAGCGACACGATTATAATTTCAACTTGGCTAATACCTGTAGTTTGGCATGTAGCTGGCTGCGCACCGTGGATGAAATTAAATTATCCTTTAATGAGAATGATCGAGGATCGCAACGGGTATATACAGGATGTCCCAGGAGGCAAGGTCAATATTCTGGGAGGCGAGGGGGTATCGGTCATTTTAAGCAAAAACGTTCATACGAATATACGCTCCATTCCTTACCGTTTCCGAGACAGAGCACATTTTGTTGACGTTCTCGTTCAGATAAAACGTGAACACTGGGAGGCGGTGCACTTTCACGCAATGTATTGAAAACCTTGGAAAACACTTTACGATTCGGAATTCTGCGGGTAGGAAAGCGTCGACGGTATTCTTCAACAGTAGCTCTACCATCACAGAACCCGTAAACAGATCGGCATATTCGACGTTTGTGAATATGCGAGGCATTTTCAACATTTCTACAATGTTATCGGCATAACAGACGTATAAGAGTAAATTCCCGCACACGTTTATGAGGTTGGACGAAGGGTGAAGTGTACAGAAAAAAAGTAAGTACACGAGACATTCAAGTAGCTCTATCTCGGAAACAGTGGAGAATGGGACATATATTCGTATGAACATTTTTGCTTAAAATGATCGATTCTATCACCTCTCAGAATATTGACCTTTCCTCCTGGGACACCCTGTACTGATGTTCTGGCAACCTCAAATCTGGCGTTAAAATCTCTAATAGGTTACTGTGAAATTCCTTTTCTTCTCGACGAAGATCTCGAAGAGGACATTTTTCGAGCAAAACATTGACGTGTGTAAAAAAGAGACTTAAAATGCAAGAAAAGTGTCGCTCGAACCTTTCAGCCCCTCGATAGAAAATGTCCCCATTGAAATGTCGCAAGTGAATCTGCAAAAATTTAGCAGTGCGATTTTATAAACGTGTCTCTCCTCGCCTTTGCTTACCGTCCTGATTTCGTAGTCCGGAGAAATAGCATTTTACTTATCCCCGAGGTTACTTCTAATGCGATGCTGCGAAAGAAATACGACCCTACGTGTCCCGGGTGTTTCTCTGTTTCGCAATTTCAGTGATCCGTGCCGCGACTCCGAAGACGATGTCGCGCAAAGTCGCGCTCGCAAAACTTCTGAGTAGCGGAAAAGCGACATCAGTCGATATCACTGTAGCGTGTTAAGGACTTTTGGCACCCCCTGCGTAATGCGTGACGAACGAACAATGAGAGTCGTGCGAGCGAACCGTCGCAAGAAGCAGACTTATTAATATTGCACGCCTCTCGTCGACTTTGTTCTCGACGTCCTTTATTTCTTTCACTTTAACACGCGTTGAGCCCGTATCAGGCTACGGGTTGCGATTGAGATTATATTGAAATTGGACCAATCAGAGTACAATTCACTAAACTTGAGATTAGTAAACTGTACCTTGATTGGTGTCCAAATTTCAATTTAATCTCAATCTCAGTCCGTAGTCTGATACGGGCCTCAGCCTAATCGACAAATTCACAAAAATTGTAAATGGGCAAATCTGTGCCGTCGTAGCTAAAAATTAACAATTTTGATTATCGGACCTACGCGATTATCTTTTACGCGATTGTTGTTTCCCAGTTTATCTCATATTTCTGTGTCACTTGTTTACAGGCAAAATTCCGCGTGATGGTGGAGGAGAACGCAGCGACCGGCGCCCGGCTGGACGGCGAGCTGGAACGCGCTCGAGGCGAGTGCGCCACTCTTCGGGGCGAATTACGCGACGTTCGTGGCGCCTTGCCAATCGTACTGAATAATAACAACGCCGGCAATGGCAGCGCTAACAGCAACAACAATTCTGGTGCAGCAACCGGCGTTTCCGGCGGCAACTCGAACCCTGGCCAGGAAGCCGAGGCTCAGCAACAGGCGCAACAGGAAGACGGCAAGCGGCTTAGCGCCGGCAGTAGCCCGATCGAGAAGAGGAGCTCGGCCAGCGATAAATCCGCCAGTCCTATCGAGAAGCGGACCAGCCCGGTGGACAGGAAGGATAGAAGCAGCCCCGTCGAACGGCGATCCAGTCCCATAGGTCTGTGACAAAGCGAATTCTTGCCTTTCTGATATTTTGCGACTTCTCGAAATTATTAAACGCTCTCTCTAATAGCGAATTCGGTTGCTTGCACTCCCAGACAACACGCATAGTTCTATGAATATTCTTCGGGACTGCAAATATTCTTAATATCAGAATATTCCAATCGAATATTCTATATATAGATTGTTACAATTAGAAATCGTACATTCGTAACGCAGAAGAACGATTTTAGAATATTTGTCGAGAATGTCTTTGGAATATTCGTTCAGAATAATTTCTTTATGTTCATCGAGTTTAGGTATCGCACATTGTTTATTGTGTAATACACTCATCTTATGCAAAAGGCAGTGAAACCTGTAATCATAACCGACACGCTATATTCGTTAGATTATTCTATTCACATTCGAAAAAGATTTATAGTAGTGCCAGTCGAAGGCTCCACGACCATAAGATAAAATATATAAGAATAACCTACGGAATATTGCAAATATTCTTGAAGGATATTCTTAAGATGTTCATAGGAGTGTCTTGTGCTACCTGGGCTAGTGCGCACCGAGTGCACACTAAGGCTTGTCTATTCTTATATCCAACATTGTCTTAAACACACGTTCAAAGAGTATTTAACTAAAAAATGATCTCTATGGATTCTGTACATGTCATTTTACTGGCTAAGAAATATTTCAAGAGATATTTAAGACGATCCCTAAATATAAGAATTGATTGCAAACAAGCTTTAGTGTGCGCTCAGTGCGCACTAGCGCAAGCAACCGAATTCGCTATAACTTCCCTTTATTATCAATCTTTATTGCGTATATTCTATCTAGAACTCGGAATATTTAAACGCGTAAAATTTACCGAGAACGAGCAGCCAGCTCGAAACGTGATTAGTAGCGTAAGAAGTTGTTTGTTTTATAAATAAAATGATATTCTCGCGCTCAAAACCTTCATCGAAAGAATGAAACAAGATCTCGGAACAGCCTCGCGGGTTGAATGTTGAAAGTTTATTTTGCGAAAGTATTTTCATAAAGACAGCCCGGCAACGGAAATGCGCTTAAGCTGGGCAGAAAGTTATCGACTTCGCGCGGGCGCTTCGGCGGATAAGACTTTTAAGAAGTTGGCGAGAATGAAATTTTAAGACGGCGCGGCGCGAATGTTTTTCGCATTTCCACGTTTATCTTAACTTCCCCGGCGAGTTATCCTGTATATTTCACAGTTATGTGCTGTTACTTTTATGGCCGGCCATGATTCATAGTTTTCTCCGCGGCTTGAAGCCAGGTTTGCCGCCTTTAAACTACTTATTGCAACTCATAAGAGTCGAGTTCTTTACTACGAACGTTGCAGTCGTTATTCCGCGGAATACAAGAGTCCGTATCATTTTACACGTGGTGGTTTCCTACTAGCGATTTTCGTCCTTTTTCACTCGCTGCATTCCCACGTCGAATAAGATTGTACGGATTGCAAGCACAATTTGTCGCGCTCTATAAAAGTCAATCGGTGGATTTTCACTGAAAACAGTGAACAGTCACTGATTTACAGTTGTAAGTATACCAGTGCGATTTTCGATGGTACACCCTCAGAAAGGATTTCTGTTACCGAGACCAAAGATATTCTTGGCGCATTTATATTTCTCAAACCTCATTTAGTATAAAAATAAGACAACATCAAAATAAAATCAATAATTCTTATTCTTCTCTATCGAATTAAAAAAAGATTGACTTACTATACTGAGACAAGATTGACATGGAGCTAGGTAACATTGACCAAGCTTGGATTATGATAACCAAGCCTTTTTTTCAGCGTGTAACTGCAGTGACTATTCACTGCTTTCAGAGAGAATCCACTGGTCGACTTTTAGAGGGCTGAGTTAATATTTTCAAAAATACATTTTCTATCAAGAACGAATCTCAAACACTTGAGATACGCGGTAAATATACACTGTATTTTCGCGCAAGGAATGTGTTAACAAGTTCATACAAGAGCTATTTACAGAAGATCAAAGATACAGAATGTACATTATGCAATTCTCGTCCGCTGTCTGGTTCTCCTCTGCCTTTCGCTCTTATCGGAGAGAGAGAAAGAGGGAGTGGGAGAGTGAGAGGGAGAGAGAGATGCCAACAGACCCGCTTAAGGGAGAGTGGACCAGCGTATGCATGCAAATTCGGGGACGAATGCATTCGGGGCACCCGTCGTATCGGATCGATCGATCATGCGCCTCGCGTCGAGGTATTCATCGCCGAGATCGCCGGCCGGATCCACCTTATCGAGCACACTGCATCCGTCTCGGGTCGAACGCACATTCCAATAAAGGCCTGGCTCCATTCCAGCGATTTCTCCGTGCGCCAATATAAGTCGTTCGCCGTCCGCTGCTGCTTCTCTCCTCGTCCTAACTCACCCCGCATTCGAGTCCTCGGCGATCGTTCTCTGCTCGCATTTCGTACGAGAATCGAGTGTCCATCGAGAGTCGCGCTGCATCATTGAAGAGCGAACGACGCGGCTTTTAAATAGGCGCAATTAAATTACGCCGCGTTAAATTTGATGTTCGCTAAACTTAATTAGCTCACGGTTTAAATTACTCCGCTGATAGCAAATAGGGTGTCTATGCTGCTATAAATCCATCGGCTAGCTAATTGAATAAAACACGCTCGAATGTAGCGACGCTGATTCAAATGATTGCGATATGGCATTATTGGGATAAATTTGATATGTTCCAATGGATGAGGATGAGTTCTAATTGGATAAATCCCAAATTGATCGAATTTCCTGCAGCTAATACAATTGTTATAATTGAAAGAAATTGTCAATTCATTTTAAAAGTAGAAGCTCCTCCCTGTTATGAAAAACATTGAATATTAACTTTAATGCAGAAATATTTATGGATATTTGAGCTTTCCAAAGCAGGATGTAGGTAGCTTAATAATTAAAATCTTATTAGTATGTGAATTCATGTACCGTTTTTCCATCTTGCGCGCCGGTTTCTTTTCTGACATAACACAGTTTCGTTAGATGGAATATTGTCGTCGGCGAATTTACGTATTAATCGATGAACGATTTCTAATAATTTGTATTCAATACCATGTCTGCTTCTCCGCACTGTAAAGAGGTATTATTGCGAAAAAATATTACCTCAGCCAGGATTCGAACCTGGGACCCCCCTCGATCCGTGACGGGCGTCCCAACTCGACAACAAGACAGATGGAAAAGCGGTATACGAATTGACATAATAATAAGATTTGAATAATCCAGTTTTTTAGTCGACATTAACCGGCTAGTGTTTTAATACAGAAAATTTATTGCGAAAAATATTACCTCAGCCAGGGTTTGAACCTGGACTTCCCTTCTCTCGAGGCGGGCGTCTCACCAGTTCGACCACTGAGGCATGTAGAGAGAAGGGAAGTCCACGTTAATGTCGACTAAAAAGCTTGATTATTGTTATCTATTGCTGGGAACTTCAAGAGATTTCTAAATAAAATGTGAATTATTGAGCTACCTGCATCCTGCTTTGGACCTATGGCAGTCTCGTTGGTTGTTTGATCCTATCTAGAAGTTTTAATGTACCCTATTAGTCGAAGAAATGTTGTATTAATATATTTTTCGTCGTTAGAACGAAGAAATGGCTCGCCCTGCCGAAGTCCGAGCGAGAAAGCTCGCCGGCCGTACGCCCCGGCTTTGGAGAAGACGCGGCTGGGCGGATCCGGGGGCAGTGTGGATTCTCGATCGGGCAGCGCCAGCCCGGATCGGGGACCGGCGAACCGGAGCGGCTTCCTGCATCGCGGTAGCAGCGATCGTTCCAGCGGCGAGCGACTGCGGATATCGACTAACCGCGATGCCCTGCGATCCAGCAAGGAGATGAACGACCATGACCAGAAAGACGCCGATAAAGATCTGGTGGACGGCGACGCGCGGGGCGACGAGGACAATGAACCCCCTGGACCGGCGCCGAGCAGCAGACCCACATCCCCAGCTAATTCACTCGGTGCGTTAATAAATCCGGCATTTAATTATGGGCGATCGATCGGTTCGCCTCTCTTTTCCAATCTGACCTTCTGAGCGGGAACGCGTCTCAATTTTCTCGGTGGCGAACTGTACCTTGCGCTTGAGAATGCGATGGATTTTAGATTGCTGTATCATTCCAATATATATATCGTTTCTTATAAAAAAATGTGAGCCACGTTATAAGTTAAACCACATTGCCAAGTCGCGCAAAGTCATACTAGAAAATAATATAAAATCGTTTTGACGCGCTTACTCGCGAAGATGTGAGATAGTCTCGTATTTATTTAAGTTTAAATTTCTTTACACATTTTGTATACATAGATTTATATTCTACTGTAAATTTAAATAATAGAGTTTAATTTAATTTAACTTAAGTTTTACTCGAGATCCACTAACGTACGGTTGCTGCTCGGAAATTTTGGAAATTTTGGAAATTGCTATTAGAAATCTACTGACTACCGAGACATATATGACATTATGAATTTGCTGCCACAGGCTCATAAACTCATTCCGTTTCGGCATAAAATTAATTTGTTCAACATTAGATTGTACCTGAAAAGGACCCGATAAAGAGGTCGAAACTTAACTATATATCACTTTTTGTGTCAGTTCGATTTTTAAAAGAACCTCCCCGAATTTAAATTAAATTTATGCTAGTCATAATAAAATTAAGTCGCTAATCATGTTTTTAAGTAATTTGTCTTTTTCTCCGGTGCAGTAATCGGCGACCCGGTGGTCGCGTCCAGACTGTCCAACATTCACGGTTGCGGACACGCGGAGCTGGCGAGCGCCAGAAGATTACGACTGGAGAACGAACGGCTGGTCGCCGAGGTCGCAAGGTTGAGGAGGTTGTTGCTGACCGGCGCAGCGCGCGGCGAGGTCGGCGCCGAGGACGCCGCGATGGAGGAGGAGGCGCGCTTTGTCGCCCTGGAAATGGAATTGCAGCACGCGAAGGAGGCACTCCAGGCGTTGAAGGCCGACCGGAAGCGGCTCAAAGCGGAGAAGTTTGATCTTCTCAATCAGATGAAGGCGCTCTACGGCACCCTCGAGGACAAGGAGCGTGAACTACGCGATTTTATCCGAAATTACGAACAGGTGAGTCAGCGTATGATAAAACTTTCGCAGCATTCTTTGCATGCCTTTGTACTTTTTTTAAAATAAAGTTGTTATTCGCGCCTTCGAAAAGTCTCGAGAAATGATGAAATGTACGGCGATCAAGCGGCATCTTATCGAGAGAAAGATCAAGCAATTGTTGCGTTCCGACATAGAAAACCTAAATGTCGATTTTTAATGCTGTCTCTTCGGATTCCATGGAGACACATTAGTTCGAAAAATTCCATTGATAAAAGAACATTGACTATTCTTAAGGAACGAAAGATATCTTTTGTGTGCGACAGTTATGACCAGATTTATGCGAGAAGGTGAAATTATCAGAAGTGAAGATATTGGAAAAGATTCCGCAATTCTTTCGAGCTCCGGCAAGAATAGCCTAGGGTGGGTTGTTTTATCGTTCATGATAATCGGTGCCATATGAAAATAATATTTCTACAACTTATATCGATTAAGATTAAAGGAGCGTTGCTCGAGCTGTATTCGCATCGCGCACCCGCGTTCAGGAAACGCGCCACGTAACTCATACAGAAGTCACATTCGGGAAATTTAATCGTGACGTTTTCACATTCCACGAGCAGAAGCAATAAACAGTTGGGAAGGAGCTCAAATACCGCCGCGTAGTTTGCATGTCTCATATGGAACGATCGATTTTCGATGGGAGCCACGGCGATGAATTAAGAAAGGTGATGGCTGGAACCGGGAGAAGTGTTCCGCCGCTCTCGATATTTATGAACGTGCAACTTTCGAAATTGCCACCACACCGCTATAATTCCTTGCCTGTAATTCTTTGCCATTGCCGTCTTCTTATTACCGGCGTAAAAATATCCTCGAGAGAAAGAAGGTGTATTTGCTAATAGTGAGTCCGTTACGAAATAATCGGTGAGACAACAGCTGGGGCGGGCGATGAACGAGATAAGGGATATTTAAATTGCCGAGTCAGTCACTTTAGAACCAGGTCCAGTCTTGTAAATTTTACGATCACTACAGTGCTTGAAATAGCGTTCGAAAGGGAGCAGCCACTTTTCCCAGGACGGTGTATTAATTATTGCCGCTGCTACAAAAAAAGCAACGATTCCGCGAAGAAAGGGTGTCGTTAGAATTTATAAATATCTATCTTACGAAATTATTCTGCGTCGACGTGTATCCACTCAACTTCGGTTTTAGCGGTGTACGCGGAGAGAATTTTCTCTGAAAATTTATCCTGAAAATCATGTAATTGTGTGACAACGTGGCATTTTGAAGAACTTTATGAGAGTTTCTTGAAAATTTACCGTACATTTTATCGGTAAAATGTATGGCAAAAAAAGCATCTCCGTGAAAGAAACGAAGCGGTACCTGATCTCGCCCCATCTCATTATCGTAACTGCAAATTATTCGATAAAAAGTAACGATTTGATTCGACTTGTGACTCTGACAGCGAGGTTTAACTATTAAAGTATTATATAATAAAATTTTCCGTTCACTAAAGCGGCCGGCTAATACAAATTGAGAACAACGCGAAACGAGCGACTAACGAAAGCGCGCTCCGCGGTGGGTTTTAATTTCGCCTCTAATGCGTCTTTATGAAGCGACGAGGAAATATCGGGCGAGGAAAAAAAGCCTGGGAGAGTCAACTGTTCGCGCAACGGCGATTCCCAGAGCCACCATTGTACGAACGTAGTTAAAAAACTTTTATATACGCAATCGGCACCGCTGCGGGCAGTTAATCAGTAATTGGCTCGCTCTTGAAACTTCATTAACCCGCGACAGCGCGTGAGAAACGTTGTTTGGCGATGCCCGCGGTGCCAAACGTGTTAAACATTTAAAAAAATATTATGAGAAAAGTTAGACGGATTTATCGCGTATCGTGACGGAAAGTTATCGGCGATCTAAAGAGACTTGGTCCGACCGTGCTTCAATTTTCTCGGAGTGCATGTCGTGCCCGCGGATGCAAGCGACGTTGTGCCGGGGACACGACAGCAATTTTGCCTGTTAAATACTTTCATTAAACTTGCCGGAATTTCTCATTTCGCCGAGACCGTTGTGGCCGAGCCGCAATTATTTCAATTCCATTAAATGAGCATCGACATCGCGCGAACAATGTACACTAGACATCACCGATGCCCTCCCATATGAATTTGTGCGTATATCAACACATTTATACATTTTGCGCATCCATGGAAAATGTGTGTGTGTTCTGTGTACGCCTTAAATTCATGTGGGAAGGCATCAGTGATGTCTAGTGCACAGTGATGGACAGAACGGTTGCAACACTTTTTTTTAGTGAGTTTAGGAATGTACCTTTAGATTCAGGATTACGTTCCAAGTATTTTACTCCATGGCCGTTCCGAAATCATTTTGAGCGTTTTCGATCTACTTTTTCGAGCGAAACTTTCCTCGGAGAAAATGTTTCGGAGTGTGAACCTGAATCTAAATGCGCGTTCTTAAACTCATAAAAAAATAAGTGTTGCAATCATTCTGTCCATCACTGTGCTTGACCATTGGTGCACCGGTTGCATTGAACGCGTCTTTCAACCTCGCCAACTTTATAAGAAGCGCCGTTATTATTAGCAACTTATAATATATACTTTTACGACAGTGACGTACTTTTTATATAGTTTGACTCTTATCGAAGTGATCCTAGCCTCGAGCTAGCTTCTCCCGGGATAAGGCACGACAATGAAAATCGTGAGTGAGGTCATTATCGCCGGAGGAGGCTTAAGGACCGACTTCGAGAGCGCATCGCGCATCAAGATTGCCCCCCGGTATAACGGGGCCGTTTGGTCTTAAGCCAATGTGTAACGATGTACCGAGACAAAGAGAGAGAATGTAGCGAGCTTTTGTCGCTACCGATTGTTATCAACTCCGGAACAAAGACTCGGCTCAGCCTCAATTCTCGAAAGGCACAGTGAAACGGTGCGTACACAGACGCGGGATTATTCAGGAACCTCGTGGCCAGACCTCGCTTGTCTCTAGTGAAGTTGGTTGCAAAACGAAGGACGAAAATTAGAATACGTGGTCGAGAGATAAAATAAGACGCAGTTGCAATTTACAATTCGGCAAGCAGTAATAATGTAGGAAAGTAAATATGGTTAAAGCTGAAATTACATTGCAAACGTAGTTTACAAGAGCTCCGATTTTTCTAGTAATTAGTAAGCAAATATTTCTTTAATAATACAGGGTCTTAATGAATACCTGCAACAAACTTCTAGGGCACGTAGGGGGTTCAAAGTAGACCAACTTTTAATAAGGAACTCACGTCCGGAAACGCACCGTTTACGAGCTCCAGACTGGAACTGTTGGTATGTCAGCAATAGGAATTTTTTTCAGGAATATTTTCAGCAAAGGAATAATTTTCACAATAACTTCGTTTGCGTACATTACACTATTAGAATGTTTAGCAATGTCGAAACGGATGGCTACAACCCATCTGTCCCGAAATACTTGGCTGATGTAGTCTCGGATGATGAGTGAAAAGTGTAGTGGCGCACCGTCTTGTTGCCACCACATCTGTCGACGAATTTCGAGTGGTACGTCTTCCAACAAACCCATGAGCATTTATTGTAGCCAGTTTTGACATTGCTAAACATTCTGGTAATGTAATGTATAAGCAAATAAAGTTATTATGAAAATTATTTCTATTACTGAAATGCCAACAGTTCCAGTCTGCAGCTCGTAAACGGTGCGTTTCCGGACATGAGTTCCTTCTTAAAAGTTGGTCTACTTTGAATCCCCTACATTCCTTAGAAGTTTGTTACAGGTATTCATTAACACCCTGTATACAATGAGAATGTTTGGTCTCGGAAAAATCGTTGAATAGTGAAATAAACGGTGCGCAGGGAACGAGCGATTACCCTCGCACGGATTAATGTAATTGTAAATTTATGGCAGCAGCAGCGCCGCGTAAACGCTTTTTCGATGTCGTTGACAAACATAGCGTAATTTCGCGCGAAAAGAGCACTAAGAACAATTAACAGTATTGTTCTCGACGAATGAAATTTCTGGGTGAAGATGAAAAGCATCACCCTAATGTTAGTCGCGGTGATGCTGGTATTTTAATAAAAATGTTATTACGCAGTGCATGGTATCGCGGACAAAAGAACTTGCGACTAATTAATAAGATTCCGCGCTTTTGTAACGCTTAGTGCCCTTTTGCGTGAATATCAAAAAGATAGAATTTCGCAACGCACCGGAATGGAAACCTAACAGCGTTGCGCTAAGCAGACGAGTACACGTATTACAAAGAAAATTAATGCCCAAGAAGAATCTAATTGCTACACAAAAATTTACATGAAACGTTTAACCACATTTTATTACGTTAACGCGCGTTTTGCATGTTTATGCGCATACCAAAAACTTCAACTGAACACGTAGCTGAATTAAAAGTCTAACAATGCTTTGCGTAATGTTGTCGTCACGTTAATTATCTTTACCGTTTTTACTTTCAAGAAGCATAACCGGCGCATGCAGTATTTGTTTCACCAAGGCCGAGAAACAACCTTCCATTTGTTGCACTCCTACTTGATCTCGCGAGACTTGATGAAATTTCGTTATTCATTTACCCGAGAAATGACTTCATTACCCCGAAGAAAGTTCCTGGTGAAAATATCAGACTAAGTGTCACCGACAGCAGCGGTACATGCATCGTCGCAGGCTCCTTCGCGTTGCCTTTACCATCCCGAAAGAATACACGCGTTTTACGGCGGTTTTCCGCCCATAAAGCGCGCCATCAATTTTCCTTCGCTTTTACCTATACCCTCCTTCCTCCTACACTCACGTTCTCTTTCTCCGTCTGCATAATCCACTTCATCTCTCAGCGAGTGCCGACGTATTACTACGCTCGGTACACGGCCCCACGATTTTCCTCTATCCCGCGTTATCTTCAATTTTCCCTTCCTTGACGAAACTGCGACTGTACATGTGAAAGGGCCGGAGAAAAACCCTTTGAGACAACATATAATATCTACCGATATAGTTTAACAATGGCCCCTAAAATAACACGCGATGAAGTTTTCTACTTCAGTTCTACCACTTAACTTTCATTAAATTTGATCTGTGTGCGAAATTTTTCCATGACGAAGAGGAGTAAGATTAGGTCCTACGGTGTCTCGATATCTATCGGTGGACTTAAAAGTAGCTCCGACCGATAGGTACATGTATTTATATCTATACGCTTTCGCGTGCTATCTCTTTCAGCTCGCCTGCCTTTGTTCGATTTTGTGAGTCTTGACGTGTTTCCCGGTCCTTCCTGCTTATCATCCGACATCATGGCCCGACAATGAAGCTTATGAAACGCTGATGGAATTACCCCTTTCCCCTCGCTTCTCCCCCCTCCCTTTCCCCTTTGCCGAAGCTTCCAAACTGCTTAGGTTTTTCCCTCGCATCGCGCTGCCGTGGAAAATTCTAGACATTATCCGCACATTTATATACAGTAGTCCGCTTCCAAGGAATTTAATATGCCCGAATGCTTTATAAATGTTTATGAACGCAACGGTCCCGTTCAAATTATAATAGAGGAACACGATGAACGTACATAAGGCAGTAATAAAAAAATACTCCCCTCAAATTCCTCGTAATTCCTATGAAGCTTACGATGTAATCCTCTAAAATTATCAACTTAACGGTTCGTTGCGCCATTCATCCGTCGTAATACTCTCTGTTTAAACCGGTATTTTTTTTAATCAGCACAAGAGCGAAACATTAAAATCGGATTTTCGGTGCTTTTCACGTGTGATGAGGGCTACCTTTAGCATTGCAATCGTAACGAGAGAGTTTGCGTCTCCTCCACGGCAACAGTTTTTGAAGATATAACTACGACGTGCTAACAACCGAC